GGAAGAAAGAGGCAGGTTAGGTTGGGTTGGAGGCGATCGAGAGGCATGCGCACACACCCGTACGCACGCTAGTGGCACGTGCAGACCGAAAACAAGCACAGGCGGGAAATGGCCAGAGGGCACGCTCACTCGCACGCACGCAAGAGAAAGGCTAACAGTCCAGCACACACACAAACCTAAGGTTATTACGACGCGGCAGAGTCACGGTGGCTGGACACGAGGGGAGAGGATATCGATGTCTCCTATCCAAAGTGCCACCGGCATATCTAGGGCATCTGAGCAACGAACAGCGTTAGGAAGAACGACGAAGTGAAAGGCAAGAGAGGAGGCGGATTAGGAGGGAAAGGAGCTGGGCGCATTATGACTTGTCTCAGACAAAAGCAGTTAAGTCCAATTGGCGTCATATCCGATGCGCAAATCCATCTGAAGCTCCAATTTTTTGCAAAATCATTCGAAGGTTCTTATCTTACCGGGAACTTTACTCTAAGTGAAGAAATCTTATGTATTGTGTTAAATGGATGCGATTATTAATGGCTAATTCTAACTTGAGGGCGCAAACTATCTTTCAAAAACTAATTAAAGTGAGGATAAAAGGAAATACCTTCAGATCTACATCCTTCCCTAATCAATTTAGGCATCGGTATCGTCAACTTTCAAGGTTCACCAACTTCCTTCCCTCCTACCTGCCTGCTTACCTGGGTTGGTGGTCAGTCCTAGAGACCGGATTGGTTCTACGCCGACCACCAATAGCGGCTGAGGCTGGTGGAGCCCGGAATACCAGGTCACCACGATCTCGCAGCGCTCGAAGTCCGCCGCCACCACCGCCTCCTGCCCCAATGCCGCCAGTGAATCTCGAACTCTGGTAGTGGCCATGGCCAAGGTGGTGGAGCACGAGGTTTGAGGAGGAGGTGCTTGAGGTGGCAAGGGAAGAGGTGGAGGGGGCAGGCGAGATGGAAGGAGTGGTGGTGGTAGTAGTAGTGGTGACCGGTGTCACCGCCCCCGCTCCGCCCAAGGAGAGGGGTGAGGAGATAGCGGTTATGGAGGAGCCCCGGCTGATCCCACGTGACGATGTTGACGAGGACGGTGGTGTGGACACCGCGGCTGTTGTCGTTCCCTCTGAGGAGAGGATAGAGGCCACAGAGGCACCGACAACTGAATAGCAGAAAATTGAACGTCATAATAGAAACCGGTAACAATGGATTGGGTTTCTGACGTCACAAACACATGCTATCTTAAATGGCAATCCAATCATCCTGGACACTTGGATACATGCTGAAATGGAAAGGAAAAAAAAAGCCCTCTTTCGAAACGGCAACAGTCGTGGCAGTTTGAGATCACATTGAGTTAATAAAAACAATGCAAATAGTCTTCTGATCTACCAATGAATAATGTAACATTTTTCGCATCGCTTCAAATAGACTTTCCGCTTTGTGCTGATATGGATGTCACAAAAGGGACTACTGCCCTTTCAAAAGAACCGGAAGAGTATAACACAGAAAATGTGGTATGCACACTACCACAGCCGAGCCATTTCAGTGTCCCAAATTTCGTCAGAACCCCAAATGTTAGTCCCTATGTTCGGCACCTTTTTTCCCGGGTTCACAAGTTATTGACCTCAAAGAGGACAAGCAAAATTGGAAGTTTATTCCCGATTTTGACTTTATCGCACATCTGTCAAAATGCAGATTTGAAGTTAATTCAAAATCCTATGATATACTTTGAGCGACTTTAAAACTTGAGTTAGTTAGAATATGGAACAGGATAAAAACAAATAAACGCAGCCAGTTTTTTTCTACAGAATGCTAAAAAGTGATTTATATTTGCTGTTGCATAAACCTCAAAACAGGTAAATAAAGTGTTGCAATAAAAATGTGTTCAAGGTAGTCCAAA